TAATAGTTAGGTTTTAAATATATATTTTTGTGTTATTGAGTCCAATTTTCCTAATTTTAACATGTTCACAACAACCAAAAAACCTTAACATTACGACCAAACTAAACATGTTTTTTATTTTTGCATTCAAAATATTGCCTAGCATCAAATTTGCAATCTTATTTAATTTTAAATTTTTTTCAGTTATCTTATCATACTTTAGTGATCAAAATATAATTTATCATCTTGGCAAATAAGACTACCATATGCAATAAATAAAGATTTTGTCCTGTTACATATATGTGTGCATGCCTATCTCAAAGCTGATGTGTAAGAGTACATGCACTTCAACGAGCCATGCAGAATGAAATGTGTCAACTCCTTTCTTTACAATATGAAGACAAGTTTTGTTTTTTCTTATGAAGACAAAAAGATAGCTATTCAAGTGAAGTGTAGATTGTATAGAGTCGACTCTATGGACATGGTTCTTATCTCAATCAAAATATTTACCAAAAACATTTTTCAAATAAAGTCCCTTATAAATAGCATCACTTAACGCAAGTGTATGAGCAATCAGAGAACCACAACAAAAAGTAAGAAAGATAAAAGAAAATGGCTCGAGTCTCAGCTCTTCTTTCGTTTTCCTTAACACTTTTGGTCTTTCTCCATGGCTACACAGCTCAACAATCTCAACAAACTCAGCAAGCTCAGTTTCCAAACGAGTGTCAGCTCGACCAGCTCAATGCGCTCGAGCCGTCACACGTACTCAAGTCCGAGGCTGGTCGCATCGAGGTTTGGGACCACCATGCTCCTCAGCTACGTTGCTCTGGAGTCTCTTTCGTACGTTACATCCTTGAAGAAAAGGGCCTTTACTTGCCTTCTTACTTGAACACTGCTAAGCTCTCCTTCGTCGCTAGCGGTAAGTTCAATTCTTTCTATATATGTTAGTTTGTGTTTACTCGTTTTCTCTAAACCGAACATTTGAAGTTTTTTTGGGGTTTCAATATTTTTCATGCTGCTTAAATAAACCTAATAAGGTAGTATAATATTCTGTTGTTTGGTCCGTTACATTATAGGACGAGGTCTTATGGGGAGAGTGATCCCGGGATGTGCCGAGACATTCCAAGACTCGTCAGTGTTCCAACCACGTGGTGGCAGCCAGTACGGAGAAGGTCAGGAAGGTCAACAGGGCCAAGGTCGCCAAGGCCGAGGTCAACAAGGCCAGGGTCAACAGGGTCAGGGACAACATGGCCAGGGACAACAGGGCCAGGGCCAGAGACAACAAGGCCAAGGATTCCGTGACATGCACCAGAAAGTAGAGCACATAAGGAGCGGAGACACCATCGCCACACAACCCGGTGTAGCCCAGTGGTTCTACAACGAGGGACAGCAACCACTTATCATTGTCGCTGTTATGGATTTAGCTAGCCACCAGAACCAGCTCGACCGCAACCCAAGGGTAATATATATATGTATAATATAACAACCAAAAAATCATATTAAAAGCTTTTGAAATTTGTTACAAGAAATTAATAAAACGTGTGTACGTGCGTCTCTCTTTCAAGCCATTTTACTTAGCTGGAAACAACCAGCAAGGCCAGGAATGGATAAGAGGACGAGAGCAACAGCCACAGAACAACATCCTTAGTGGCTTTGCACCAGAGGTTCTTGCTCAAGCTTTCAAGATTGATGTTCAGACAGCCCAAC